TCGTGTGGACATCAACTATATATTTAAATATACTGTAGCGAACATTGTTCCCGCTGGTTCCCGCGACCACACAACAGCTCTGCTAGCCGCCGGTCCGACCGCCTTGACGCATATTACTATTACAAAAGACAACAACCAAAGATGAGCCGCCACCAGAGTTCAACGGATATCCAGCTTCGAAGTGCGTATGCACGGCCTTGTGGGCGCAATGTCCAGACAATATGGGTTTCCGGGTAACCCCGATACCAAGCCTACCCTACGCGAAGGTCAGGTTGGCCGGAGAGGTCGTAATCCCGTACTCCCGGGGGTGGGTAATGGTCAGCAATCCATTAATCCTGACCGGTCCTTGCAGGGTCTTAATCCCTATCCTGACCTGTTTTGGTGGGGTCCTAATCCTAATCCTGACGGCTACACGGATCCTAATCCTAATCCTCGCCGGTCAAGGGCAAGCCTTCGGCATATTGGCTCGTCTTCGGTGTAATACTCTCTCATGGAAAAATGTAATATTGTCCAATTAACATATGTAAAGCTTTAGGTGCGCGGCTGGCGGTTGGGAACCGGTGAGCCAGCGGCTCGCCAGGGCTCATCAGGGTCCTAGTTCTAATAATCCTTAGGTCGTCGGTCCGGGCAGGTCCGGTGTTGCAAACCAATCTTCCTGACTGGTACCTGACCCTTATTTCATCTTTGCAACCCTCCTGGCCACCAAACCAAATGACCAAATGATGTAACGGAGTTTATGATGTAACGGAAAGGTTGGAAGAGGTCGTGCAGCGATGGCGTCATGGCATTATGAGCGAGCGCAGCTGTGCCTCAGCGGCAGGTGAAATTCGGCCCATACTAAGCTAAATATGCACGTGTTTTCGGGTGCAAATGGTCGGCGTTGTCGACCGCGCTTGCGGAAGACCGTACCGTGGAAGTTTGGAAGCCCTGCCCTCCTCAACCGACACTGGACCCGTCACCTGGCACATGGCTGCGGTGTTGCCGTCAACATCCGGTGGTGCGGGCTCATTTGAGGAATGTCATAACCATGGAGCAGTGTCGCATCGCGGGCAGGAGATCCATGCCTGCGGACGCCAAAAACTTGGACGTCCATTCCTGAGCCCTGGCCGGGGCCGCCCTTAGTTGACTGAAAACCAGAGTCTGACGTCATATTTAGCTCAATTAGCTCCGAATCTGCCAGGGCTGCGACCGAAGGTTTTAGAGCCTCTGAATAGAGGCGAATGCAAGTGGTCCAAGAACCACGACAGCGGCATATAGCTATGACGGATAAAAGACGTGGCCGGCCAGGGCTCAGGAATGGACGTCCAAGTTTTTGGCGTCCGCAGGCATGGATCTCCTGCCCGCGATGCGACACTGCTCCATGGTTATGACATTCCTCAAATGAGCCCGCACCACCGGATGTTGACGGCAACACCGCAGCCATGTGCCAGGTGACGGGTCCAGTGTCGGTTGAGGAGGGCAGGGCTTCCAAACTTCCACGGTACGGTCTTCCGCAAGCGCGGTCGACAACGCCGACCATTTGCACCCGAAAACACGTGCATATTTAGCTTAGTATGGGCCGAATTTCACCTGCCGCTGAGGCACAGCTGCGCTCGCTCATAATGCCATGACGCCATCGCTGCACGACCTCTTCCAACCTTTCCAATATAATAAACTCCGTTACATCATTTGGTCATTTGGTTTGGTGGCCAGGAGGGTTGCAAAGATGAAATAAGGGTCAGGTACCAGTCAGGAAGATTGGTTTGCAACACCGGACCTGCCCGGACCGACGACCTAAGGATTATTAGAACTAGGACCCTGATGAGCCCTGGCGAGCCGCTGGCTCACCGGTTCCCAACCGCCAGCCGCGCACCTAAAGCTTTACATATGTTAATTGGACAATATTACATTTTTCCATGAGAGAGTATTACACCGAAGACGAGCCAATATGCCGAAGGCTTGCCCTTGACCGGCGAGGATTAGGATTAGGATCCGTGTAGCCGTCAGGATTAGGATTAGGACCCCACCAAAACAGGTCAGGATAGGGATTAAGACCAGGGTGGCTATCTTATTTTGCTGAGTATCTGCGGCCAGAGATACTCCTGGCTCAGAAGCGCTGGGAGTATCTGTCAGGATCTGTCTAGGAGGGGATTTTCCCGGCTAAACACGGCCCCGGGAGATATCATGCCCCGCCTGTGAGGCCGGATTATCTAAACCTTCAGCTTTTTCCACGGCAAAAGTATCTTCAGATTTCCAAAATTTCTCCCGAATATATATTCATATCTTAAGATAGCCACCCTGATTAAGACCCTGCAAGGACCGGTCAGGATTAATGGATTGCTGACCATTACCCACCCCCGGGAGTACGGGATTACGACCTCTCCGGCCAACCTGACCTTCGCGTAGGGTAGGCTTGGTATCGGGGTTACCCGGAAACCCATATTGCCTGGACATTGCGCCCACAAGGCCGTGCATACGCACTTCGAAGCTGGATATCCGTTGAACTCTGGTGGCGGCTCATCTTTGGTTGTTGGACGCCAAGCCGCAATTTCACGCACGATGCGGTCTATCTTCTGCGGGCCGCCCAACAGGCCCAGTCGGCAAGCCTTACAGGGGGATTCCACTGAGTCACTTGTTTGTTTGACCCGACAAAAATAACAGGCGCCTAACAAAGCTAACAAGAGGCTGCTTCCACACAGAGCCCCGAAACCACTTTTGTTAGCCTTCTATCGCGCCAAACCAAACCCATTTTCTCATCTCATTTGTGTTTTTTAAATACAATAATGAAACGGATGGTCATTGTACAAGTTTGGCCGCGCTGCTGGCCCTTCTAATGCACATATCGGCATTTTACGCACATGGATGTCCAGTCGTCGGGCAGCACCCCGCAAGGGCCGCTGCATAGTTGCAGTATACAACTGATGAAGATTGGTGGGCATGTTCGCCAGGCAGAGGCGACTGGTTGGGGTTCATGCATGGCTGCGTGCGAGAAAGTCATCGCGTTCGCCGGCGGACGACGGGGACGTGTAGACCAGAGGTAATTAGGAGACCAGGCGCTATCGAAATTTAAAATAGCAAGGTAGAAATTTTCGCGCTCAAAGTTAGCAAGGTTTGTTAAGTTTATAAGCAGGTCCGAAGTGCATATAACTTTTGTAGCATTATTGGCCGGCTAACAAATGTCGTGTTTCCACTGGGGCCTTCCGTTCTTCGCCTTCGCGCAACCTTTCCTCATTATAATTACTTTTATTCAATACGTATTGAAGTGCGCGAAAGAGTGCGTTGAAAGCCGACACCCCGAGCGAGAATATTTGAACTAGGCCCTAACAAGGCCTAACAAACAACTCAGTGGAATTCGGCTCTTAACATAAATGAATGTTCGTTGTGAAAAATAGTGACATTACGCCATAACTTCGCGACGCGCGACTTCGCGACATGATGGCACACGCACGGCGGGGTTGGGGTTGGGAAGGCTGGACCGTACGGGTCCCACACACCAGGGATGGACGCATCCAAGTCATTTCTGTCGAAATCCGCTGTCATTTTTGGGCGGGGCCCCAGCGTGAAGCGCCCAGGGGGGCCCCGCCCTGTAGGATTGCCCAGTTCCGTGCCTGCCTGCCTGTCTACCTCTCTCTGTCCTGGAAAAAGTGCAGTATCTCAGCCAGCGGAAAGACTGTAGAAGTAAAAAATTACATTCTTTATTGCATGGTATCTTATCATAGGAACCCAACATCGCATGAGTAAAAACCAGTTTGGCAGTCTCCATGGACCGAGGCCGAGGTCAAACCAACACCTCTCGGCCTATAATTTATTCCATAAGATTCATCGCTCGTCAAAGTGGAATTCTGACATGACGGCGCGAAATGAATCTTCGTTTCGGCAACCAACTTTGTTTGCATTGCGAACATTCTTCCCGCGAACACACCACAGCAGCTCTGCTTGCCGGTCCGATCGACTTGACGCATATTACTATAACAACAAAGGTTGCATGGGACAAACCATTAGGGGCGAACTGCTGGTTGTCGGACCCCAAGCGGCAAATTGCACGCACGACGCGGCGGTCTCCTGCGGGCCGCCTAACAAGTGCAGTCGGCAACCTATCTAGGGGACTTCTACAGTCCCTGTCCTAATGTTAAATTCGTCAAGCCTGCTCTACGATACGGCGGATACCTCGGTAGCGAAGCCTGTGCACTCTCGTCGGCGGCAAGTGCACGTCGTCGTGACCCTCGCAAACAGTTCCGCTGTCCTTCCATTTGCAAGTCAGCCTGCGTGATATGTGAATGATACACTCCATGTCTACTGTCAAGCTACTTAAGCCAAGCAATGCGCTCGCGGGAAGATTTGCACAGTGCCGAGACGGAGCGCGATGCTATACATGGGGCGGATTGCTGAAGCCGCAGGCATTTCGGATATACAGCTTTGGCTGTCTATCAGCAGGAATGTCGACACTCTCACACTTCACGCTCTCGCCACCCTAGCACTCAACTTCAACCATACGGATTGAACGGGGCCCCGCCCTTGTCCGGCTTAATGGAAGCCGACACCAACGATTAACCCCTTGTCCCCCATTTTGGTGTATCTCCCACGCAAGTCAATAGACGGCAGGACTCTTAACTTAGTCCCTTCAGACTCGCACGCCTACCTAACACTCCCAAGTCCCAAGGATGTGGGGTGGGGATATCGAGCGAGTGGACAGGAGCGCGCTCCCGTCCACTCAATATATATATCGATCAGTGGGTATCGAGTGGACAGGAGCGTGCTCCCGCAAGGTAGGCGTTCGACTCTGAAGAGACTAAGTTTAAGAGCCAACCTGTTCAGCCGGACGTACATACCGTGCTGCCTTTCGGCTACATCTCAAAGTGTCAGACGCACGGCGGCTGGCCAGTTCACACACGGGGCCCACTCCCCGGGAGGGGCTGAAGCCCCACCAGCTGAATCGGTTCGATTGCATGTTAAACCTCTCGCAATAAAACGGACCACATTGTCAGCATGCAGAGCAAAAACAATAGTTAGGAACAAAGATGTGTCGCTACCGGGACTCGAACCCGGGTCGCGTGGGTGAAAGCCACGTATCCTGACCGACTAGACTATAGCGACATGCACGCAAATGGATTATATCCATATATGTACATGTAATAGTTAACCCACACCCACTGCCGCCGGCGCCTCCGGGCCGCTGCCATGAAACGACGGTCAACGAACCGCTATAGCACTAAATTCCGCCAGCAGGGTGACAATATCCGCCCAGACACAATCTAAGAAGCATGCATAGACACCAGTAGGACACGGTCCAGTGCTTTGGGCGCACGGGAAGTCACCTATCGTGCGTGTACACGTTTCGCGCGCGGTGACCCGCCAAGGGCCAGGGGCCGGGTTCCGTGGCTCCACGGACCGAGCGACGCGTGCTGGGAAAAGAGCCGACCCGCCCGAAGCCGTCATCTAAACGGACCACCTATCTGGATGCGCGCGAGCCAAAAAGAGCGGCCCGGTGAAACAATACGAGCTGGCGCTTTCCCAGGGCTCAGCATGGGGAAGAAGTGGTTTCGGATGTGGGCCGTACACAATGAAAGTCACTTCTTGCTGTCGGTGGACTACTGCTTTTGCGCTTCCCCAATTCTCTTAACACTTTAGGTCTATAAGCGCAGGATATTGCGCGTGTTTGGATGCTCTTCGGAAAGAGGTCGGCGTGATGATGAGCTGTTTCGTTCCGTAACGGTGTGTGTGTGTGGTATTGGGGGAAAACGGCTCCACCGTGCGTGCGTGTTCGTACAAAGGTCCTGCTGACTTCGTTCGTTCACAAATAAAGTAAGCTGACTCTTCGTTTTCACGTATCATGCGTACTTCGTATAGATTCACGCTGGAAAGGAAGCGCAGCGAATGTCGATGGCGTTAGGGCGCACGAAGCGACGGAGAATATCAGTGCATGCAGGGCCCTTGACTTGCCATGTCGGCCTGAAATTTACCTGAGTGAATTTCGTTATGCTTGTCATGCTCCATTTAACGACAACATGCATCCTGCCGGTCCTGTCTGCAGCAGCGATCGCTTCGAGCTAGCGAGCGCAAAGTAAGAAGGCATGGCTGGCACGGCAGGACGGCCCATCTATCTATCTCAGCGAGGTACGTACATGTCGGGGGCCTCTGGCTGCATGCCATCCTGCCAGCCACCGTCTTCACGTCAAACATTGAACAACACGCATGCAGCAGCCCGGCACATGTGGTTCATAATGCGATGCCTACAAAAAATAATAAACGGATGCTGCAAAGGAGATTACGTTTTCGTGCCAACCTGTACTCTTCAAACGCGCGCCTGTCACCAGCAATCTGACTTAAATAACAGCACCCATGCCAAGCCAGCAGCAGCAGGCGAAGGCCGGCAAGCCTAAATTCCGGCGGCACGTAATAACCGGCTATATAGCTATACTGGTCATCAATCTGTGTTGATCGCCGACTGCACAGGACACCAGGCGTGGTCGCGCTTGTAGACGCCGTTGATGGTCAGCGGCTGTTGTACGCTCCACAGCGAGTAGGCCACGTGGCCCTGACCCGACACGAAGACGTCAGCGGGGTCCGGAATGGCGGCGCACGCGGCGGCGTTGGCGCAATTCTTGGTAATGGTGATGACGTACTGTGAGGTGGACGGCTCGATGGCGCCCTTGACCGTAACCTTGAGGTTGAACATGGCGTACGTGGCCGTGGGGTCTCCTGATAACTTCTCCTTCATGTCCTGGACTGTGGTTACACGTTGACCGTTCACATGTACCCGGTACCATGAAGTCATTTGTGTGTAACCTTGGGTCGCAAGCGCGTCGTCCAGCTTCATGACCGCACGATTGTCGAAGTAGGCGATGTAGAGGTTGGTAATGGGGAAGTCGCGCGGAACCACGGTGCCGGACGCGTCGGCGACGTGGCTCTTGTTGCGGGTGTCCAGGTGGAGAGTGAGAGAGCCCGAGAGCTGCACGCTGCGGCGGTGGTACATGACCCAGTTGCCGAACGCTTGGTTTTGCATCGTGGAGTTGCAGCTGCCAAAGCCGATGTAGTACTGGGGGCGCGACGCCTCTGCTTTTGTGAGCAGTGGGTAGGCTGCACGCGAATGAATGAGCAGATGGCGGCCGGCAGGGCAGGGGGGAGGGATGCCATAAGATATTACAGAGCGAGGTGGAACGAAAACCCAAACGAAAAACAGGCACATCTACTCATGCAACAGGCTGCCCTGTTACGGGGACCCAGCATATTGTGCGCATAAAGTAGGCAAAAAGTAATGAACTAACGTCCGGTGGAGGGTCGAATTCAGCAAGCTGTGCACTCATACACTGTGGTGCGAAGGGTCCGGGCCGTCTACCCAGTCCACGATAAATCCCCGCCCCACTGAACGTACCGTCAACGTTGATGGCCGACTGCACGGGGCACCAGGCGTTGTAGACGCCGTTGATGGCCAGCGTCTGGTCGACGCTCCACAGCGAGTAGGCCACGTGGCCCTGACCCGACACGAAGACGTCGGCGGGGTCTGGAACGGTGGAGCACGCGGCGGCGCTGGCGCACCGCTTGGTGATGGTTATGTTGTACGGCTTGGCCGACGGCGAGAAAACACCCCTGACGTTTGCCTTGAGGCTGAAGGCGCTGAAATTGGTGTTGATGCTTCCCCTCATGAGCTGGTCTTTCATGTTGACCACCGTGATTATTTTCTTACCGTCTACCCACACATTGTACGGCGCGGATCTGCTTTCGGCGGCGGCCTGCGTCTGAGGTTCGAACGTTCGCTGCACTTTGTCGTCAAAGTAGGCAAAGTAAAGGTGGGTGAGGGGGAAACTGCGCGGCACCACGTTTCCGGTTGCGTCGGCAACAGGGCGCATGTTTCGAGTATCTAGGAAGACGGTAAGCGCGCCCGGGAGCTGTCCGCTGCGCGAGCGATACATGGCCCAATTGCTGTATGCTTGGTTCTGCATCGCGGCCTCGCATTTGCCAAAGCCAATGTAGTACTGGGGGCGCGCCGCCGGGTTTACATCAGCGGCAAGGACGCCTGCTGCACGGGGACAGCCAAACAAGCCAGAAGGTAACAAGGGGCAGTAGTGTGTATGCATAACCGGCATGACAGGCGGCATGACACACTGTTTCTGGTAGCATGTTTAAGCCCGCTATGAAAATCATGGGAGATTTCATTATGGGCCTTCACACGCAAGGGCGACTGATAAGGAAAGTAGCTGACGCATGCACGCACGCACGCACGTTTTCCGCCCGATTTCGACGATTTTTGGCCCGGCCAGTCCCCGATGAGCATCGAGCACAAAACTGACACTGCAACTACAAAATGATAGGCGATGCCATGGGTCCGCCCAACCGTGGCCCGCGAGCTGAGTGACAAGTTAAAAACCGATACTTATGATCAATCATACAAACAAGCATTAGCAAAATGACCTTCTGTCGTTCATAAAACGGATGATGTGTCTGGCACATCTGGGAAGAATGCGTGCGGGTACCCAGATGTGATCTGAGTGAGACGGAGCCCAGACATGGAGTGGGTGGGAGAAGCAACCCATCTTAGTCAAAAAGGCGGTCACCGCGGTAATGGGCTGTACCCGCCGATGAGGCATCAGTCTGTTCCCTTAACCCACGCTAGGGCCTACGGTCCAGCGTAAAACTTTCTTTCTTTCGTTCATAAAACGGATCGTTGACTCTGTGTGTCTTTAGCCCACTGCGACTTCCGAAGGTTTGAATTTGCGTTTCAAAAAGCAATGACGAGCCGTGCAGTGTGGCCTCCCTTATCGGTACAGACACTATTAGAAACGGGCGACACGGACCAACCTGCTGCCGACAGCTGATGTGGTTGAGACATCGGCGGCGGTGGCGGTGGTGGCGGCGGAGGCGGTGGTGGCACAGGTGGCGGCGGTGGTGGCGGTGGCGGTGGTGGCGGTGGTGGGGTACCGGTCACTTCTGAAAAAGCAAACACAGCAAACAAGCATACGCCAAATAATAATTGACCTTCGTTCGCTTCGTTCTGTCGTTCATAAAACGGATTGTTGACTTTTGAGCCCACCGCAACCTCCATGTTTTAAATTTGCGTTTCAAAAAGCAATGACGAGCCGTGCAGTGTGGCCTCCCTTTGCGGTACAGACACTATTAGAAACGGGCGACACGGACCAACCTGCTGCCGACAGCTGATGTGGTTGAGACATCGGCGGCGGTGGCGGTGGTGGCGGCGGAGGCGGTGGTGGCACAGGTGGCGGCGGTGGTGGCGGTGGCGGTGGTGGCGGTGGTGGGGTACCGGTCACTTCTGAAAAGCAAACACAGCAAACAAGCATACGCCAAATAATAATTGACCTTCGTTCGCTTCGTTCTGTCGTTCATAAAACGGATTGTTGACTTTTGAGCCCACCGCAACCTCCATGTTTTAAATTTGCGTTTCAAAAAGCAATGACGAGCCGTGCAGTGTGGCCTCCCTTATCGGTACAGACACTATTAGAAACGGGCGACACGGACCAACCTGCTGCCGACAATTGATGTGGTTGAGACATCGGCGGCGGTGGCGGTGGTGGCGGCGGAGGCGGTGGTGGCACAGGTGGCGGCGGTGGTGGCGGTGGCGGCGGGGGCGGTGGTGGGGTACCGGTCACTTCTGAAAAGCAAACACAGCAAACAAGCATACGCCAAATAATAATTGACCTTCGTTCGCTTCGTTCTGTCGTTCATAAAACGGATTGTTGACTTTTGAGCCCACCGCAACCTCCATGTTTTAAATTTGCGTTTCAAAAAGCAATGACGAGCCGTGCAGTGTGGCCTCCCTTTGCGGTACAGACACTATTAGAAACGGGCGACACGGACCAACCTGCTGCCGACAATTGATGTGGTTGAGACATCGGCGGCGGTGGCGGTGGTGGCGGCGGAGGCGGTGGTGGCACAGGTGGCGGCGGTGGTGGCGGTGGCGGCGGGGGCGGTGGTGGGGTACCGGTCACTTCTGAAAAGCAAACACAGCAAACAAGCATACGCCAAATAATAATTGACCTTCGTTCGCTTCGTTCTGTCGTTCATAAAACGGATTGTTGACTTTTGAGCCCACCGCAACCTCCATGTTTTAAATTTGCGTTTCAAAAAGCAATGACGAGCCG